GGGGGGGGGGGGGGGGGGGGAAATTTCGGCGATTTGATGGCCATAAATTTTCCTGGATAGAGGTACTAAAGTTCCAATTTCGGCGTGCTTCGTCATCTTCACCGGCGCTCCAGTGGCACAGGCACTGCAAAAAAAGCCCGGGTCTGTTCATAAATCAAACTAAAGTAATTCTAAGTAGCAGAACATTACAGCTCTACTTCTAATTTTTGCATATTTCCAGGATGAAGGGGAGGGGAAAAAGGAGCGGGGGGAGGGTTTCTTTCCCTCAGTCCTGAACCTGCTTGTGTGTCGAAGAGGCTTTCTGACATCTCATAGCAAATCCAGAAGAGATACGTTTGGAACTGTATGAGAGACGAAAGCACTTGACAATAATTCGAGCTCAAGAAATTCTGCATGTGCTAAAGCAACCATTTGCCAACAAGATTCTCTTCCATTCAAGAACTGATGGCGAATTTGACTTCCTACTGTGTGCCAGTGCCAATTTACCATCAAAACGAATGAAAAAAAAAAGATCGTAGAGGGATTAGTTATCACACTGGCGGGGATCAAACCCTCGACCAGTAGGTCTACTGCATTTATGTAGCGGTACTTGACAGCATGCCACAATCGCCAACTCATTCGGTATCAATTTTGAAAATACCAATTAAGCGGCATTTTCAATAAAGATAGAAATAAGGAAGGATTAGTAATAATACGAATAAAACAAACTCACAATAACAGAAACAATAATAATTCGAAATATTAATATAGTAACATTAGTAATAAAACAAACAAGTAAGAGTAATAATCATTAATAATAATGATAATGAGAACAACAAATAATAATAATGATGATGACGATATTCGTATTTAAATTTTTACAAATTTCATTACCACAAAATAGTGCAAAACATAGTAATATCGTAATATTAACAATAAAACAAAATGTTAAGAGTAATAATAATCACTATGATAACAATAACAATAGTGATAGTAATGATAATGATGACAACGATACTCGTATTAAAATTTTAATAAATTTCATTGTTGGAAATGTTTAAAATGAAAAGTGGAGAAATTTGCTAGGCCATGCACTTCTACTTGCTCTCCCTCCTTCCTTCCCTCCGTTCTGGAGCTGTGGATATTCTAGATTTTAAGCAAAAAACCCCGCTCGAATTTATCCCCATGATTTTTATCAAAATTTTTTCTAAAGTTGATTAGGCCTATGCAATAGCCTGCCTGCTTTTTTAGTTCGGAAAAAGCATTGCTGATTACTGCTGGCTTCAGATCCGACCTTAGTCCTTGGTGTTTACCCTCCCCGAGTATTGGGAGAGACCGGGGGTGCCAGGAAGAGCCAGGACGGGCGGGCAATGCGACAGGATCGTGGTGGTAGTAGCAGTTGTAGTGCAAGTAGTAGTAAAGAGCTCGGCAGCTCACCCGCCCTGGTCGATTATGTGCTGGTGCGGAGGGCGGCCGACGCGCACCCTGCTCTCTCCCCGGATCGATATTTTCCAGAATGCGTCCGGCAGGCGGCAGATGGGGATGGATCGACGGCGGCGCAGGGAGGGGAGGG